CACTGAGCCATATGCACCATAAAGGCAAAGGTCATGTCTATTGTATTCACTCTTTTATAGGTAGTATTTTGTAGGCACCCAGAGAATATTTGTCAGATAAATGAATGCATATGATGAAGTGAATGAACATGGGCAACGTTGGTGCATGAAGTGCTGCAGAGTAATTATAGGCAGTCTTTGAGTTTTTAACAAGTGGTGTGTAGATTTACAAACATGACTATACCACTTGGAGGTTTACATAGATTTTGCCATGAGAAAAAGTTCTTCCTGGGAAACAATATCGAGAATCACCAATTTGGGTCAAATAAATACATTTACAGATAGATATTCATGTAGCTATCAGAGATGCCCAACAAGAGGGCTCACATACGGACTCCTTCAGCTTTCAGAGAAGTAGGATAGAGCCTAGGGCAGCTGACCCAATTGGCACAATATGCCGTACCCACTTTCTATGAAAGTTATGACATAAAATAATTTCAAACGTGCTTCTATATGGTAGCAATTTGAAGCTTTTTTTGTTGTTTGCTGCTTTTTTTTAAAAAGAAGTGATTGAGATTTTCAAAAGCACAGTGAATTGCATCAATGAGGCTAAACTTGAATCAGTCTAAAATACTATATGTTCATTCAGATTGCCACCAAAATGACATCAATTAAGTGTATATAATAGCATTATGAATATTTATAACATGATGGATGTTAAAATGAAAAAAGTAGAATATAAAGGCACTATAATTGTAAAACAGTAAGTTTTTATAGTTGTACCTAGACTGTGATTTTTATATACCTTACTATATTATTTCTATTAAAGTGAAAATAAACATTTTAATAAAAATAGACATAATTATAAACAATACACTGACTCCTCCCCCCCCCCCCCCCCGCACAACCATAACCTGGGAATATAGTTGTGGCATATGTAAATCACTTTATTATAGTGCAATTTTTATATGAAATATTTTTATTATCAACTATTCTAATTAGCAAGCTAAGTTGACAAATAAATATATATCAGTAAATATGTTTTTATTCAGAGAAAGAGCTGTTTTGCTTATAACTTCAGAGTACAGTATTTAGCCATTAAGTCATCAATGATAGTATAACTTGAATCCCTCTTCTGTATATCTACCCCCAATATTTGAAAACACTTATTCATAAAGATGTAAGTACCCTATGTTCATTGCAGCATGTTCTACAATAGGCGAGACAGAGAAAGAATTATTGGATAAAGAAGTGGTACAGAGATATATAATAGAATACTACTCAACCATCTCTGACAACATGGATGAATCTTGAAAGTATCGTGTTAAGGAAAATAAGTCAGATGGAAAAGACAAGAACCATAGGATTTCACCTATATGTGAGATATAAAACAGAAAGCCACAGGCAAACAAACAAACTTATAGACAAAGACAACAGTATAGTGGTTACTAGAGGGGAAGAAGGTGGGGAGAGGATGAAGAGGGTAAAAGGTTTCATATACATGGTGATACAAGGAGACTAGACTTTGGGTGGTGGGCACACGCTAGAATATACAGATGATATGTAGAGAATTATACACCTAAAATATATAATATTGCTAACTAATGTTACCCCAATAATTAAAACATATTTTATTTTTTAAGAAATAGTCTGTATTCATATATCAGAAATACTTGTAGTGAAGTAAAACATTTATGTTTTCTATTTGATATTTCGAGATGGTTATGTTTTTTAGAAGACAAGGTATAGATGCGGAGAAAGGTCTCACCACCCAAATAGTGATATATCACAGTAAGTATCATATTTTATTCTTAGAACTAAACAGTGAACATATCATTGAGTTATACATCACTCTCTCTACTAAACTGCAAATTTCTCCATGTTAGAAAATAATTTTCTATTCTGTATGCACATTGTAAAGCACAATGCTTAATCCATCATACGTTTCTAAATGTTTATTAAATGAGTGCATATTCTCAAAGGGGAATAGTGTGTATCTTTCAGCATACATGCTACTTTCTACTCTAAACGAGGTTTAAGGATCTTTAGCTTTGATCTGGTGTTGTCTCTCCTAATGTCTTTGTGATTACAACTTCATATTTAGGAGGAGAAGCCCTTAGTGGATTATTGGCAGCAATTATGAGAAGCTTAAACATGCCATAAAGGCAAAGTTTCTGTCAAGCATCATTTCCTTTGTAGAAAATGCATCTCTTGAGATAGGCTGAGAGCACATACCCCACAGTGGGGAGTTTTGAGAACTATTTCCCCCAGGATAGTTCTCTCAAGCCCAGCTTCCTGGACCAGCCGCTCGCGCTGAATGCTTGGTGTGGTTTTTCTGAAAGGGATGATCTTTCATTCTGTGGACTCATTAGGCCACTGGTACCTGATTATGCTAATAGCATAACTGTTCCACACAACTGAGTTTCAAAACGTCTCAACTGAATCGATCTTTATGGTCAGTACTTTTTTTTTCTTTTTACCCATATAGTCATGATAGTGAGACACTACCAACAAAAATTTCACTGGATAAATAATATGATCATTTTACTTGGATTTTAAGAAATACTAATCTTACCTTTAATGAATTTTGCAAAAGCAAGGGGATCTTTAAAAAATAAAGCTTACACAGTAGAGCCAAAGCAACAGTTCAGTTCTAAGTGGCACAGGTTTTGTGATCGATATAAAAATGTTGTGGTATTAACAGAATTATAATGATGCTTGGAAGAAATTATATCCTTGCCCTAATCTCTGCAATGTTGGCAAACCTTATAAATTCCTGAAATACAAAGTGAAGGTTTACTGTATTTAAGATGAAAAAAATCCAACACAGAGTAACAAAACTATTAACCCATATTGAAGTTTATTTAAACCTTGCTAATTCAACTAAAAAGCTTTCCCTGGGGAATAATTCACAATTTACCTCTCTTGAGTGACAGGATATCTAAAAAGATGCTACCAACTTCAGAAATCTTCATATATGAATTATTAGAAAGCTATAAAATGCTAATACTGTTAAAGACATAAGTACACCTCCATCAATACATATGTTAGTTTGTGTTTATGCATTTATGTATGTATTTATTTATTTGGCTATTTTAAAGAATAAAGGTTACATTATCAATCTCCCTAGAATTTGGATTAATGGTTTTACATTTTTTTCATCAAACTATTCCCATTTTTAAAATAATTATAAATATTAAGAAATGTGGATTATGCAGTCATTTGGATTTCGTACTAAATAAAAAAATTCAAACTAACCTTGCTTTTAAAATTCAAGTATAAATATATAATGACTACTTTATAATGCTGTCAAATTTATGGTCAAATAGCAATATTTTGAACCACTTACTGGTTCAAAAAGTTTAATCATAATTAAAAACTTTCTTTTAACTAAATAATAATATTTTAATAAAAATTATATTTATGAATATTTTCCAGACCTGGTTTAATTTTTTGACATGCTATCAGAGTGAGAGTAGCTTGCCTACATAATGTTAGAAAATTCTTACAGATATAATTCTTTTACATTAGAGATATGCAATATTATCTGCCAATCAAACCATCTATCCAATGCATTAGGTTATGTTTCTAATGATTACTTGTTCCGACAATATCATCCACTTTTATATCAATTTATAATTTACAAAGTATTTTTACGTGTCACCATCATTTAAATAACAAAAATACCATTTTAAGGAAAGACAATGAGATTAAGAGAGAGATGTTAAGTTCTGACAAAGATCACGTGGTTGGAAATCAGAGAGCCAGGAGCAGATCCGTGGCTCCCAGCCCTTGTTCAGGGCCATATTTTTACATACTGACCGACTCTCTGGCAACATAAAGAACTGCCACCACCCCTCTTTCTAATTGCCTGAATCTGAATTTCAGTGAGTTTGTTTTCTTATTATCTTTAGCTGAAACATGTGAAAGCGAACCCATAAATGCCCAGAATTCATGAGATGCACACCGTTATCTTTGCAAGGCCAAGAGCAAACCGAGGAGGATGCAACTAGCTCACCATCGCTTTCCATCACTGACCAAGTCCAAGCCCGTGACTAGCCTCATCACTGAGTAGAGGAAATCGAAGTTATGCAAAAACTTTAATCAGTGAATAGTTCTAAAGTTTA